ATTAATTTATACAAAAAATTATAAAAATTAATGTTTACATAGATACTTTAATTGATTAATTAATTAATTAATTTAAGTCAACCTTTATAATTTTTTATATAAATTAATTAAAAAATTAAATTTATTGTATATTTTACATGTGTAAAAATCTATTAATGTGTTATAAGTTAGAAGTAAAAAACATGATAATTGCATTTTAACACAGCCAAGACTCGAACCTGTGTCTTTTACATAATAATAAAAGGTAACAAACTAGAAGAACCACCGTACATGATGTGTCAAGTTATTGCACAATATTTTATTTATTCAATTCAATTGATCAACAGTTTAAATGATTAAACCGATTAAACTGATCAAATCAAAAACCAAAAGTCAAAACGATTTGATCTCCCAATCGATTTTCAAAACACTAAATCTAATGTTTGAAGGAAAATTTTCTCAAATTTTTTATAAGATTATTTATATATTTTTAAATATTAATATTATAATAAAATAATAATAAAATTAATATTTTAAATATTTACTGTTTTAACATAATTCATAATTGGTAATTTCCTTTTTAAAAAAAAATTATAATTTTTTTTATATTGAATTCATTTAATAACTTTTGATATTAAATTTTTGCTGTTTGTGAGAATCCGAACTAAAAGCTCCTTTGTTGCTTTCTCATCATGGTCAACACTCGATCTGTTCGAGCTGGAAATCAAGCTCAACCTCTTGGACAAGGTCAAGAGCAATACCCCAACAACCTCCCACCTCACCTCCCACCTCACCTCCCACCTTAAATCCCAAACCTATTCCCTCCTGTTGAACATGCATGAGGAGGAGATGAAACCAACCTCATAACTCAACCCACAATTCAGCTTCCACTCCTAATCAAGGAGATGTAGTCATAGCTCAGCTTGCTGCTATGCAACAACAGTTCGATGTCTTTCAGTTGGTTTTGGCTTAGCTCTTAGCTCAAAATAATCTTGGTGATCCCCTCATCAATCTACTCAACCCTACTCAACAACCCCCTGTTCAACAACAAGACCCTCAACCAGTTCAACATGCTCATACTCTTAGTGTGTCTTAGGGTCAGTCTCACGTAGCCCTAGTTCAACAACCTCTACTTGATGATGTCACACGACGTCTGGATAGCTTAGAAAAATTGGTAGCCAAGCAGCGAGGTGCCCCACCTCCACACCGTAACATTGATTCCATACCTCATCCTCTAAACACTAATATTACATTTGAACCTTATCCCGTTGGTTTCAAAATACCTCAGCTCGAGACATATGATGGAACGAAGGATCCAGATGATCACCTCCATGCCTTCTACTCCTGTACGCAAGCTTAGAACGCTTCTGATGCATTGATGTGCAAAATTTTTCCCTCCACTCTCCGTGGTAATGCTCGAACCAGGTACTATAGTTTGCCTCCAAGATCTATCAGCTCTTATACAGAAATGGCATATGCTTTTGCTACAAAGTTTTCCAATAGAAGATTGATTAGGAAAACCACTTCTGAACTGATGCGAGTTAAACAGAACGACGAAGAATCTCTGAAGAACTACATGAGCAGGTTCAATGGTGCAGTTCTTGAAGTCGGCTCATTCAATCAAGCTGTAGGAATTGCAGTTGTAATTCAAGGTCTCCAACACGAGAGATTCAGAGATAGCTTAATTAAGCATCATGCTGCTACTTTTAATGAGGTTAATGATAGATCTTTGAAATTCATAACTGTTGAGAAATATGCCTTATCATAGAAACTAGTTCTCCCCAAGAATCAAAACCCAGATTGGAAAGATGAAGGTCAAAGTAGAAAGCGGATCAAAACAGTACAGAGTCGAGGTCCGATGTCGACTTCCACATCGAGATTCGAAAAGCTGAACTCGGTACCCCCCAACAAATTACCAATAAAGCACTAGCTACATGGACTCCTTTCAATCTGCCGAGGTCATAGATATTCATGCAGATAAAGAATAAGATGGATTTAAGGCGACCAAGGTCGATGAGAAGTTCTACTACTACACGTGATCATACTAGATACTATGATTTTCGTCAAGATCACGATCACACAACGGAGCAGTGTAATAGTCTTAGGTCCGAATTGGAAAGTCTAACTTAGAAGGGAATGCTAAATGAATATATCCAAAGAATAGAGCAACCAAAGTTTGTCAAAGAACATGGACTACAACCACAGGGATCTCGTAATGCAGGCAACAAGCAAGGCGTGGGATATCAACAAGCCCCACCTCTACTCCCACCACCAGCCAAAATTATACATATGATTATGGGAGGCTTGAAAGTAGGGGGTTTGAGCTCCAGACAACGAAAATTGTATGTTAAGGAGGTGAAACATCAAAACCGAGCTCAGAAACACAAGTTTGACAACGCTGACTAGAAGAATCAACCCATCACTTTCACACCTACCGACTTCAATGTAGTTGTCACACCTCATAATGATCCTTTGGTAACTTCTATTATGATTAACAATTGTGAGGTACAACGTGTCCTTGTTGACATAGGGAGTGCATTAGATATTATGTACTTTCATTGTTTTGAAAGTCTAGGACTCGATCTAGTTTTGTTAAAGAGGTACGACGGCCCCATATATGGATTCAATAACCAACCTGTTCAGGTAAAAGGAGTTCTTACTCTTAATGTTGCTTTTGGAAGTGGCCGAACTTATGTTACCCCTTTTGTTCGGTTTCTAGTTGTCAAAATGGCATCCTTCTTCAATGATGTTATTTGACAACCTACATTAACCGAGATCCGAGTTGTGGTCTCTCAATCTCACCTCTGCATGAAGTTCCCAACCCCCATAGAGATAGCAACACTACGAGGTAACCAGGAGGTGGCTAGACATTGCTATATTACCTTGGTTACAAGTCCTTAGAAAAGCAAAGATCACACATCAGAAACCATTCCCCAACAAGTTCATGATAGTCAGCAGATGACGAGGGTAGAGATAGTAGACAATCGACCTGAAGATGAAACTAGAGCTACCCTAGTTGAGGATGTAGAGGAAGTGCAACTTGATGACAGCGATCAAAACAGGAAGACATAAATTGGAACTTGGTTGAACCCAAAGGAAAGAGCAAAGCTAATAGCTTTCCTCCGAGCTAACAAAGACGTCTTCACTTTGACCTCAACAAACATGCTAGGGATTCCAACATCGGTATCTCAACACAAGCTTAGCACCAATCCATTGAAGAAACCAGTAGCCCAGAAGCGATGCCTCTTTGGAGGAGAAAGGCTTTAGGTTATAAAGCAAGAAGTAGAGAAACTCTTGCAAGCTAGCTTCGTTAGGAGAGTTGATTACTATGAATGGGTGGCTAACCCGGAGTTGGTCAAGAAGGCAAATGGTAAATGGCGAATGTGCATCGATTACGCAAATCTTAACTAGGCTTGTCCCAAATATTGTTATCCGATGCCAAAAATTAACAAACTGGTTGAAGCAGCTTCTAAAAATGAGAGATAAAGTCTTTTAGATGCATATTCTGGCTACCATCAAGTGTCAATGGCTTCAGAGGATGAAGAGAAAACCTTGTTCTATACTGGTGATGAAATTTATTGTTATGTCATGATGCCCTTTGGCTTAAAGAACACAGGTGCCACTTACCAAAAGATGGTGACCATGGTATTCCCAGCTCAGATCGGCAGGAATCTAGAAGTTTATGTTGATGACATCATGGTGAAGAGTCTGAAGGTAGAAGATCATCTAGTTGACCTCGATGAAACATTCAATAACCTAAAAAAGAACAGAATGCGGTTGAATCCAGCAAAGTGCATCTTCGGCATAGAGTTTGGGAAATTTTTGGGCTTCATGGTTTCCTAGAGGGGGATTGAGGTTAACCCAAAAAAGATCAAAGCAATAGTCGAGATGGAACCACCGAAGTCAGTGAAAGATATACAAAGATTAATTGGAAGAGTGGCAGCTCTTTATCGATTCATATCGAAGTTAGCAGATAGGTGCTTGCCATTCTTCAAGATTATGAGATCAGCAGCACAGAAGGATGAATTTGGTAAACAGAAGAAGTTTGAATGGAACCCAGAATGCCAAAATGCATTCAATGAGCTAAAGTTTTATCTTAGCTCACCCCCTTTGCTGACAAAGGCTATAGATGGAGAAATCCTCTATTTGTACCTCGGTATTTTAGATGAAACAATTAGTTCTGTTCTAGTGAGAAAAGAAGGTAAACAATAGAAACCAGTTTATTATACCAGCAATGTACTACACGGAGTAGAACTGAGATACCCTATT